TGTGCAATTTAACAATAGGCAAAATATTGGGGATTCCTGCTACTTAAGATAAAGGGTGGGTTTGAGGAAAACTGTTGAACTTTCACCTCTGGAATCCTAGGATTATTCTTTTAGTACTTCTGATGCAAAAAATATATATATTTATAGGAAGTTTTAATTTGATTGATATGTGGGAAAGATGGTGAATTAGGAGTCAAAAAATATGGATTCTGACATGACACTATTTGACCCCCATGATCTTCTGCAAGTGGATTTATCTCTCTGGGTTTTGCTATTTTTATCTGTAAAGTGTAGCCATCCAATTAATCAGTATTTTAGCTCATTACTACCCCTGCAGTCTCACATCTTTTGCAATACGTTATACTGAACCATATGAAATTGCCAGTATTTGACCATGTAACGATATTAATTTGACCTATAGAAACGGCAATTTCATTTGGTTCAACCTAATAGTTGAATTCAGTTGTGGGCCCTACTGAGACTATTTGAGTTTATTTATTCTGCGTATAGCTGAGGCCAAGCAAAATTAGTGTCTCAGATGTGATGGAATATTCAGTGAATTCAGTGAATATAATGGATTTTACTATGTAATCAATGTAGTCCATTCTGGGTATGCATAGAATCCAGTCTAGTCTTTTTCTTTCCACATTGTACCAATTTACTGACCCAGTGATTCTAGATGATTTGGTTCTTGTATTCCTTTGGTGGCTGGCAAAGGAAATGTCCAGAAACTTTTGTTTGGATATTCTCTGCAGTAATTCTTGGCCACAAGCGTCTGCTGCTACAGGAGAGAACAGGATACTATCAGGGTATGAGATGAATCATTCTCCAGAGTTACCTGTCTTTTTTTTCCTCATTTTCCAATGAGGTAAGTCAAGGAATTGAGAGGTCCAATTTTCAGTCTCTAGGTTTTACACCAGTTTTGTCATTCCATCATGCATCAGAAGGGGGCAGGGCTAAGCTTTGCTCTGTTATTTGATGCAGCTCCTTAAGTTTTCCTGCCTCAAGGAAGCTGATGTGTTAAACTTTTTTTCACTTCTTCCTGAGGCACAACCTCATTCCTTTACCAACAAATAAATGCAACTTTTTGGACAATTTCCATTACCTAGCCTTTGGGGAACAAAAGTTAATCAATAGGAGGAAAAATAATCCACAGGGAGTATTTATAGATGGAAAAAAAGCATCGTTGGCCCTTACATACCTTGTTCAGGTCCTGGTACCACATTCAGAGCCTCACTGGCAAACTGGTCCCTCCCACTGCTTTCAGTCACACGGGCTGCAATAGCCTGGCTCCAGTTGAACATCTGGCTGGGGTCCAGCACATTTGCAGGTAATACATTCTTCTGAGTTCTCCACCCTGATGAGGAGGGGCAAGTGGTGGCATCTTTCAGCGTTTAGATCGGTGTTATCCAGCCCCCAATTCCTTCACCTAAGACACTTGTTTAAAAGTGTTGTTTTTTTCTGGAGAAATCATAGTCTATATTGAATCAGAGGTACAAATGTTTCTTTTCCCAAGAGAAGTTCCTTGCGAAATAACTCTAATTTTACTTTTTCCCTTCAAAACAAGTCTTGAGTCCTGTGCCCATGAGGAACAAGTATTAGAGGAGAATTGGCTAAATCTAAGACACATGTGGGCAGTATAGTGAGCAAAGCAGAGGGATGGACAAAGTAAACACACTGGAGGAAATAGGATTCTTCCTTCTTCGATACACCTCCTTCATCTAACCTCGAACTCCGTTAGCTTTCCTATCTCTTCCACAAAATCCCATAACCGCTTTAAAAATATATTCACCAGAATGAAGGATATGGTTTCTAGTTTTGCTGATATTCTTTTACATAATTTACCTTTGGCAAGTCATTTTGCAAATCTGGGTCATTTGACTTCTATGGCCCTAAACTTATTAGGCATACTAAAAAACCTAGGTTTTCATATTAGTTCATATAAAACAGAGTTTATTTAATTGGCTCCTTCTTTGTCTTCCTTCTGTCCGATACGATCTACTACTGTTAGAGTAGGGAAATGGAATCATAGCTCAGGGTGCCTGCAATCCTGCTTTTCTTTCTAGATCTATTTCTATTTCTTAGTGTAGTGGGACTTGAAGAGAAGCGGGAGCTGGGGTATCTTGTAGCTAGTGCTCTTTGATTCTGTACTATTTTGTTTCTTTTTTTTCCTAAAGAGATGTTCCACCAATTTCTAGGATTTGGGAGTTATGAAAAGAATTTCTAAATAATCAGGTTGTTTACTTATGGCAGAGAGAGAGAGGAAAAAAAAAGAGATTGGGGGATCCCTAAAACTTCTTATCTAGTATCTTGCAGTTATGTAGTTTAGCCTGCTTAGCCTGCCTAGTCCAAGTAAAATCTTTTGACTGTAACTAAGATACCCATCTTTGGAAATGTTCACTATAGATCATCAAATCTGGGTTATGTGATATACAGAGGGATACACGCTGGGAGCCAGTAGAATAGTCATAGTGGAGCTAACATCTATTGAGTGTTTATCAAGTGCTGGGCCCCTTCCTAAGGACTCTATCTGCATTGCCTTCTTTCACTTCACTACGATTTTATAAAGTAGATAGTATTCATTTCCTCCATTTTACAGTTGAGGAAAGTAAGGTTCAGACATGTGAGGTAATTTTCCCAGTGTTACTCAGCTTGTGAATGACAGAACTGGGACCAGAACTGAGGCCTGATTCCAAAGGCTAAGGAAGTAGGTTTAATCTCCTTTTGCAAATGAGTAAATTAGAGATGTAACATAACCAACATAACCGTAACTTGACCTAAAGTCACATAAACAGTAACTAATAGTGGTGTCAGGATTTGAACTCTGGTCTGTCTCTCTCTAAAGCCCATGTTTTTAACTTTTAAATCTTAAGATATCATTGAACATTAAGGAATGAAGCAGAACACAACACATTAAAAATATCAGAATTTAAAAAAATTAAATTAGATTGACTGCCCTTATGAATCAGGCCTTCAAGAGTACGATTTCTGTACCACATGGTTAGACTGAGGGAGGAGACATCATCTAAGGACCCAAACAGTGAGGATAACTTGGCATATAGTGAATTAGAATCTCTGAGGGCTGAAAAGGGACTTTTTCTTAGATATGGTATTGCTGAGAGGCATCTATCTTCTTCTTTTTTTTTTTTTTTTTTTAACGGTATTTGGCTGCTGTGTTTCCAATCTCAGTTGCAATTCCCACAGTGAGGCTGCTCCCACCCTTCCTGTGTCCCTTGAGCTGAGCAGGCACTTCCTGTCCTATTGGAAATGAAAGTTGGAGATTAGGGGTGGGGTATGTGTGTGTATTTACTCTGCAGAATATTAGTACTGTCTGTTCCATCAGCATGGCAAAAAGGTGCCAGGAAAACTAGAATCAAGACTAAGACTTCGTTCTATAGAGAGTTTTGGCTTAATATTTGGTGTGATAAGGCAGATGGGGTTCATTTATGTCTCAAGAGAATGGCTGTGATGGCAGCAAGATGGCCTTATGAAGGGGTCTGAAGGCTTCTGTTCTACAGCCCTGGTCCACTTGGATTGGTAGGGGTCACTGAGTATCATTCTTACATTCTTGGTTTCCTACAAGTTCCTTTTCTTGTTGAGGCTTTTTCCACAAGGACATTCCTTTGAAACTATGAGAGGTGAGTGTTGTTGCAATCCTGTTAGGTTCTTGACTCTTCAGTTCATATTTTTCTCTTCTGAGAATTTTGCATTTTTCTTCCCTGTGAATCATATGCTTTTAAAATGCTTATTTTTCTCTACAGCTCAGAGACAACTTGAAGCAAACATCCTAACTGTGTGAACTTCAGTTTGGGCATAAATTCCAGGTTTGGTGAGTTTCTGTAATTGTTTCAGCTTCATGGACCTTGAAGGCTAGAAAATAGTGGAATGAAAAGGCAAGATCGCTTCACAGGGTTTAAAAAACAACAATAATAAAAAAAACCCACTAGGCACCAAGTTTCACGATATAGCCCAATCTGATAATACCTCCTTAAGTATGAAGTGATACTTGGGAGAATCTGAAATAGGAGAGAAATTGAACTATCCAAGGATCTGAAACTAGCTATTCCCAAACTCTGTTTTGCTTGTCTCTGCTCTTTCGTGTGCTGCTATGTCTGTACTTTCTTTGTGTATTAAGATGACTATAAATGTGAAGTGGGGGCGGGGAGTGGGGCGCTGAGCTCTTCCTACACACTCTATCTCAGTATGGTTTTCTGCGAGTCCTGGTGGCCCCTTCAAAATCGAGCTTGAAATCCTCTTTTAACAGCAGAGATCTAAGGAAAAACATTCACATTCTCTCTCTCTTTTATATCATTTTATTGTGCTTTAAGTAAAAGTTTACAGAGCAAATTAGTTTCTCTTTCAAAAATTTATGCACAAATTGTTTCTTGACTTTGATCGCAATCCCCGCGATGTGTCAGCACTCTCCCCCTTTCCACCCTGGGTTCCCCGTTTCCGCTTCCATTCCTCCAGTTTTCCTGTCCCTTACAGTCTTCTCAGCTTTGTTTTTAGGCAGGTGTTGCCCATGAGGTCTTGTAGACTTGATTGATCTAAGCAGCACGTTCCTCACGTGTGTTATTGTTTGTTTTATATGCCTGCCTAATCTTTGGCTGAAAGGTGGACTTCGGGAGTGGCTTCAGTTCTGAGTTAGCAGGGCGTCTGGGGGCCCCAATCTGGCGGGTTCCTCCAGCATTCTCTTTCCGTGAAAATCAGAACATGTTCGTAGACAAAAAGGGATAGATTTAAAAAGTCAGGTTTTGGTTAGAACCAAGACTTTTCATCGTCTTTCTAGCATTAACTACTAAGCCCATGAAAACAAAACAAAAAATATTTTGGGCATTAGGACCCAGTGGAAGTGCCTTATTCAGACCCTGGGCGAACTTCTCTCAGTGACGTAAACTAGCGGCCCGAGCTCGTTCTCTACCCGCCCCAAATCTCTCTCCCTCCCGCTCCTTTTCTCCCCCTTTCTCCTCCCCCTCCCTTCTCCCTCTCCCCTCTCCCTCTCTTTCTCTTCCCCCTCCCTATCCCTCTCTCTTCTCTCGCTCAGCTCCCTAAGATTAAAGAGAAAATGCTGCTATCAGTGACTTCCAGGCCTGGGATTCCGACTTTTGGCTATAACAAGAACAACAAGAAGGTAGGGAAAAGCGCTTTTTCGGACTCCAGTTACTTCCTTTTCTGGGGATCTGGGAGTGCCCTTGGCTTATCATTCTCGTTTAGGAGGGGATCGGGATTCCTGCCTCCTCTCAGCGCCTCTCCCTTTCCCCCTACTTCTTTCGGCATCTTTTCTCACCTGGGTCTGGAGTTCCGGGAATTTACAGTCCTTGTACGTGAGGCCTGAGAACGCAGGGGAATTAAAAACAAATCCAGCCTGCAAGTTTGTATCTTTGTGAAATGAAGTTAGTTGGACTTCCTGCTGATGTACCTCGTCTCCGCAGGGATAAAATGTCATCTCAGACTCTGGCCCCCCCTGCAACCCTCCCCAGCCCAAGGTTATTTTATTCCTTTGATTAACTGTTTCCATTCTCCCCCACCCCCACCTTCTCCCTCCCCATACCACCAGCATTATCGGGTGGTTGAAATATCGTCAGTGAAATCACAACAGCTTCATTAAGAACTGACTATACTCTTCTAGACTAGATGGAGACCTTACCCCACCCAGCCTGTAGGGAAAGAGTCTTGAGAGAGGACATACCTTGGGGTTAAGGCTGAAAGCTCTGCGATTCTTTGGGTCTTGCTGCTGAGCCGGTGCTGAGAGCTGTGCAGATAACCAGGCTCCGTCGGGATCCTTGGAGTCTTTATGATTAACCCACAGCTGCCGGAGAGTTGTGCCCTGATTGGGCACATGGGCGTTCTGGGGAGAGGTGGACAATCGTGCCCACATTTGCCAGGGAATATCCTTGGCGGTTTCTTGGCATTTCAGGGCTCACACAGTGCTGATTAGGAGGAACTTTATATGTTGTAGCAGGAAGACCTTTTACCCTCTCTGAACGTTGTATTTGTTCTTTGAAGAAAAATAGGTGCTATAGACATTTAGGGATATTTTTCCTCATCTAATGGAGTGTTGGGGGTGGGGAAGGATTCCTGCTGCTTTCTCAGATAAGTGAAGAAAACGATACATGTTGGTTTAAATGCAAGTCTGGATCAAGGCAGTGGGTAAATGTTTAGACTTGGACTGTTTAGTGTTTATGGACCTTAGTTTACCTGGTATTCATACTGTTCATACTTAAGAAATACGGGTCCCGACGTAGTTGTAGGTTATCAATAGTTTTATATATATATATATATTTATTTATAGTTAGGGGGTATTTCATCTGTCTTTATTCTCTTCAGATCTTATATAGTACTATATGAAAGTTTCTTTCTTGACTCCCCCCACCCCAAGTCTCTCAGGTTACCCAGAACCCATTAAAGTAAAATGAATTCTAAAAATTAATTTTTTCCTCGTTAGGGATTTCGTGTATTTGAAGCTATCTAAAAGCTTCTGTCTTCTCAGTTCTTCACCCCCCTTGGACTGTAGTAAACATTTAACTGGCTTCTAAATCTAGGATAGTATAGGGGACGAGAGGAATGGTTGTAGATTTGAATTCAAATCTCCTGTCTCCTTCCAATGATTTTTGTAAAGTTTGGGAAGCAGTTCAGGGAACATTCAGACCAATGGGGGAGGAAGTAGATAAGTAATTACTAATGCATTTGTCAAGAATCCTTTGTGTTCTTACAGGTTAATGTCCTGATGACATGTAAGGATACTGTATATGTACATCGCTTTGTAGCTGTGTATATGACTCCTTGTGTGCATGTCGGTTTCGGTATACTTAAACGGAAGCACTGCTACAGTGCTCTTTGTCTTCATGCCGGTGTTCACACGTAGGGCTTAATGTGTTTGCTTCTCTCATTTGGGAAGAGTGTTTTGGATGCATTTGCTCAATGTAATCTGTGTATTTTTATACCCAAGGTTACATTAAAAAAAAACTTTATTAGTTTTTAATAATAAATGTAAGACATACTCATTAAAAAAAAAAAGAAGCATAAAGAAGTATATAAAATAAAAAGCCAGATCTTCCTTTCATGTCCTGTAGCTCCTCAGCTACGTCCCGCTCCTCAAGGAAAATAACTGGTAGCTGTTTGGTGCGTGTATCCCTCCAGATTTTTTTCTGTGCCAAGGCAAAGTTTTAATTTTGACAGTGGCTTATTTGCCATTTCTGTTAAGAACTGTTTCTCAGGTGGAACAAGTCTGTATAATAAAGTTCCTGAACCTGTCCAAAACATTTTAAAAACAGAAATAAAGTACAGTTAAATTCTAAATTCCTGAAAAAGTACAAATTATAAATACCTGCTGTTTTAAATAAGGAGAGTTTTTACATCTTAATTTATTTTTAGCTGTAATCATCACGCATAGTTTGTCAAATAAATAATAATTGTCAGTGACCTGTTTGAAAAGCTACTCTTTCTATATCATTTGAGTTTGTGACTTGCTGATTTAAAAGTATATTTGTTTTATATATTTGACCTTAAAAAAATAGGATTATTTTATTTTGAGGAATGTTTGTATGCCTCACTTTTCAGGGAAGGTGTTTCAGTAGAACCCATGACAGTTACACTTTCCTCATTCTGTTTTGGCTGGTGTTGAATATAGGAGTGCAGTCCACAAATGTATAATGCCTAATAAAGGCAGATTCTTTCTGAAGATGTAGTATTGAATTTCCGTTCCTTCCTTTGGGATTAAAATAGTCACAGAAGGGGGAAAATGTGGGTTTCAAAGAGGGGTTCTGCAAAATAATTTAATGATACATTTTTGTAAAACATGTTTTAATGGCCTTCAAATTACTCTTGTTTTTTTTAGTGGGGGGAAAAAAGGCTGAAGTAAAAAGATCACAGTTCTAGGGTCTCAACACTGTTTCTTCAGTGTTTGAAGGAGTTGCCTCAGAAGAAAGATTGGAGTGTAGGTGAGATTGAGAGAGGAAATGTTTGGGATTGAAGGAATTTCAGACTTGTATGCGACCTAACCACGCCCTCACTGACATCATCGCCCTGGCATGTGTTATTATAATTTAACTCCTCATAGTATCAACAACCATTTCCTTTGGAAAAAAGGAAGAAAGGACTAAATTTAATTGGGGATGATTTGCTTTCCCTTACGTATTTTGCATAAATTTCTGTTTCCTCATGATGTTAACATACTAAGGACCAGTGAAGGGAAGAGAGGCAATGGAGAGAGCAAGACTGACAGGTAAGCATGGCCAGATCCTCCCTCTTCAAGAAGTTTGAGTTATCTGAGATTTTCCAAAGTGTTTACTTTTTGAGAGAGGAAAGTGGGGAGCATTACTATAATTGTTTATTTCTAACAGGGAGAGAGAATTTTATCTGTGTTATGTGTTGACTACATTTCCATCAAATCAGATTTAATAGAACTGAGAACTAAGAACTTTTAGTCTAACATCGCTTGACTAGTGGCAGCTATTAGTTCTGTTATCAGTAATAAAATTAACTCAGTTGGTTAAAGTTTAGTGGCAGTCACTTTCCAGTTGATCCTTTATTTTAATTTTTAGCACCACTACCCTAATTTGAGGAGACCCGTGGAGCCCTGGTGGCGCAGTGGTTAAGAGCTTGGCTGCTAACCAAGAAGTCGGCAGTTTGAATCCACCAGGAGCTCCTTGGAAACTCTATGGGGCAGTTCTGCTATGTCCTGTAGGGTCACTATGAGTGAGAATGGACTCGATGGCAGTGGGTTTGGTTTGTGGCCCAACGGTTAAACACTAAGCACTCACTGCAAACCAAAGCTTGGTGGTTTGAACCCACTTAGCTGCTCAACAGGAGAAATACCTGGCAATCTGTTTCTATAAAGATTACAGCCAAGACAACCCTATGGGGCAGGTCTACTCTGTCCACATGAGGTCGCTATGAGTAGAAAATCGACTCTACGGCACCTAACAACAACACTCTAATTTACTGACTGGCTTATTGCTACCTTTACTAGTATAATAAACTTCCCACATGACCTCCTTGCCTGTTTCTCTGTCCCCTGCCCCTTGCCCCTAAGTAATTTTATACCTGCTGCCAGAACAATCCAGCAGGCTAGTGCTGAGCACTTCCTATATAAAAATTTTTAATGGCTCCACATTACCTACCAAAGTCCAAATCCCTAACCCAACATCCATAATGTAGCCAGCCTTTCCGTATCCTACCTCAACCCTTCCATTGCCATGATTCCCTTCCATTTCCTCTACTATAGCCCAGTTGCATTACCTGCAGTTCCCTGGATATACCCTTTGATTGATTGTTTACATTTCTCATTCCACAGGAAAATATGCAATAATACATAAAAATACAGACAAAAACCAGGACAAGGAAAAATATAGATTAGAATAAGAGGTTAGTAGGAATTAAAAAACAGATGTGCAAACCATACTTACATGCTGTAAGATGAGGACTGAAGAATAGTCATTGATTTTGACGGTATAGAGGTGGTTGGTGACTATGATGAGCAATGTCAGAGTGAGGCGCAAAAGCAAGCAAGGTTGGAATGGTTTGAAGAGTGAAAGGAGGGGAATAAAAGTGAACAGAAGGTAAGGAAGTATAGATGCTGTGTACAGACTAATCTTTTAAGGACTTTGATTAAGATGGGGAACAGAATCCAATTAAAAAATGGGCAAAAGATCTGATAGATATTTCTCCAAAGAAGATATAGAAATAGCAATGAAAAGATGCCCAACGTCATTAGCTATCAAGGAAACACAAACCAAAACCACATTGAGATGCCACTTCACACCCACTAGAATGGCTGGAATCAAAAAGACAGCTTAATAGTAGAGTAATTGGAATACTCATGCGCTGTTGATGAGAATGTAAGGTGGTATAGTTACTTTGGAAAGATGTTTGGCAGTTTCTCAAAAGATTAAACATGGAGTTGCCATATGATCCAGGAATTCTACTTCTAGATATACACCTAAGAGAAGTGAAAACATATGTCCACATAAAATCTTGTACGTGAATATACATAGCCTCGTTATTCATACTAACCAAAAATTGGAAACAACCAAATGTCCTTCAGCTGATAAATGGATAAATAAGATGTGTATACCCATACAAGGAGCCTTGGTGGCGCAGTGGTTAAGAGTTTGGCTGCTAAACAAAAGG